TCCATGAAAAAAGAATAACAAAAATTTAGCCTTAGCTTACAATTTTGCATGGTTCCCTTCCAACTTTCTTCCTTGAAGTGCTTTCATATTAAGCAATCGGAAAAAGTTTTTAATTAAAAAAAAATCAAAACGGTAGAGTACATTGACACTTTTGATTTTTTATCATAATTAAACGTAGGTCTATTAATTTTTAAAACTAATAGTCAGCTCAAAAAAATATTTTCGTTGAATATATAAATTTTGTTATTACTTAACTGGCAATGTTTTAGTTAATTTGATGATATATCAATATTTTTAAAATAATTTTACTTTTTATTTTTAAAATTTTCATTTTTAAATTTATTCTCACTTTTTTTTGCAAAAAAAAAAAACTCTTAACCCTACCATGTCGCGACGGGTGACGCTCCCTAGCAAGCTCATGGTGCTCTTAGGGAGAGCAGTAGATCTTGAGATCTAGGCTACATGGTTAGATCTCGTGCTTCCTCGTAAAGATCTGGTCAGATCTAGCATTTTAATGTCAAATTCGATTGCAAGGTGATTAATCGATGTAAAAGAGCACTTTTGACTGGCATGAGATAAAGGAAGAGTGAAAAAAAGAAGTATTTTAAATATTTTACATTAAGACATTAACATTGTTTACACATTTGGGACGAATTATGTATTTTGAAAACTAAATAGACTTACACGTTGAATGATAGTTAAAAATAAAAATATAAGTGTCTTTTATTTTTAATTAAATAATTGTTTTATTTTTTCAACAACTTGAATCCATTTATAACTTCAATGTAAGATGATTAAAACTACAAATATATGACATATCAATCATAGGGAGTTTTAAAAGGGTTCATCCGTTTAAAAAAAAAAAGAAATTTGAAGTTATAATGTCTTTCTATACTATCCAAAAATGTTGACTCCGAGTGTTGACTTGAGAGTGTTGACTATTGACTGTTGACAGTGGTAAAGTTATTTTCCTTGTAAAGGTGCCATTGAAGTACATTCCACGTCCAAGTTGTACTTCTAATTTTTTCTGTTTCCATTTGATCGACCCCTTGTGAGGGCTTTAGACCCAGTTTCAAAATTGGTTTACAAAGGCATTCTGTTTATTTTTTTTTAATTTTTTTAAAAATTTTGAATAAATATTTAATATTTATTACTTATAATTAAGTTTTTATATTTTAATTTAAAATTAAATATATTTTTATAATTAATTATTATTAATTAAAATATTATTTAAAATTTTATATTCACATGATATTATTATGACGTTGATATGAAGATAAAAAATATCACCATAATCATATTATTATATCAAATTAGTATATTATATTATATCAATTATAATATTTTAATATATCATATTAACATCATACGATATAAAATAATAAATAATATTTTTAATTAAATTAATTATTAATTATAAAAATTTATTTAATTTAAAATAAAAATTAAAAAATTTATCTGATTCAAAATAACAATACAAAAACTTAATTGAATATAATTAAAAATATAAAAATTTATTTAATTTTTTTTAATATTATATCAATTTCAAATTACATATTTATTTACAACTGAGGACACCCTTTGACACCCTTTCATAAGTTGGTAAGTGTATTTATTGGAAATAAATAGGCAATATAACTATATAAGTAACGTAGGCAGAGAGACTAAAAATCTGTTCTACCGACCTCCACGTTGAAAATGTCTTTTCCTTGTCGGTAAAGAATATCATCACGCGTCGCCGCATCTTCTCTAACGAGGCATGCCAATCGGTTTCAGTTTTAGTAGGAAAGGGATCGGGTAAGGCTAAGAGAGAGAGTTTGAATAGGATGCCAACTCTCTTTTTTATTTTTTGCTGCCTATCTACTCTTGACCAGCCAAGTGTAGAGTCGGTAAGGGAGAAGGTAGAGAAAGGAAGGCATCAGTAAGAAAATGAAAGCAAAATCGGAGATGGTGAATGATTCAGCTGGAGATTTAGTGTGTGCCCTCATAATGAAAATACTAGCACTAATTAATTTGAGTAAGTTGGAGCTTGTCTTCTCATTTTCATGTGGAATCTAATTCATGGCTTCCATCCGTTTTCCCTGTCTAATTCCTAGTGTTTCCTTTTTGGCATTCAAACACGAATCAAATTCAAAGTTCATAAAGATACTTGCTTCTTTTTTAGCTTTCAAAAATCGATTATTAATTATACTATTAAAAAAGAAAAGGAAAAAAAAGAAGGAAGAATCGAAATTTAATATTGCACTAAATTTTCAGCTAGAATGAACTAATTATTCCCTGGCCCTGGCATGATTCTTTCCACTCAAATTTGTTGATAAAAATATAAAGATCACATTAGTCAAAATCTGCATTCCTCGCCATGGGAACAATGTTTTTATTTTCCCATCTGATCATAGCAATCTGTACATACTTCTAAATTTCTGGGCTTGCATATTGGAAAGAAGTCTGAAAGGGGTTTTTCTGTTTTATATATAAAAAAAAAAACAAAGCCACTCATTTTCCCCTCTATTAATTATTAGTAAGGAAGCCTGGGCTCTACTTCCTCCATTTACAGCCCAAAGCCAGCTTCAATGTTTCACATTGTGCATTACTTAAACATTATTATATTTCCCCACATAGCAGCAGAATTAAATAATTATTGATTAAAGTTGAAACTTCAAGTAATACCCAAAAATAAACAAAAAAATTGCAATTTCTCTGGAGTCTTAGAGCCCAAGACATTAATAGCTTAATGAGCGATACGGAGAGCCTGACATCAGTATAAGATATTTCATATTAAGCTATATATATTTAATTTTCAATCCCCTCACCGCGTTAAGGAAACTGTTAGTTCTCATCTTTCAACTGTTAGGTGTAAAGGAGTACTGGTCAATACAACAGTGGCCCAACTTTGGTCCTGCTACTGGGCCTCTAAAGAAATGTTGTGGCAAGTTGTTCTCTTCACTTCTCCTTCAAGTTTCAGAAAAGATCCAGAGAATAAAACAGCAGTGATCTATAAGACAATGCGTTCCACTTTTCAATGCTTATATATATATAAAAGAACAAAAATTAACCCTTAAATTATAAATTTTGCTGGTTCCCTTCCAGTTTTCTTCTTTGAAAGTATTTTCGTATTAAGCGATCGGAACAATTGATAATAAAAAGTTTTTAATTGAAAAAAGAAATTAATAGAACACCTAACTTTTAATTGAATGATAGTTTTATTGTTTTCTACAACTCGAATATATTTATACCTTCAATGTAAGATTATTCAAATTACATTTGGTTTATGTTTTTTTCCTTTCTCAAAAATGAATAAAAAAGAATAAAAATAAATAAATAAATAAGAAAAACCAAAGACGTATGACAGAATTCAAATACATCAATCAAACCGAGTTTTAATAAGGTTTACCTGTAAAACCAAAAAAAAAAATTGAAAGTATAATGTCTCTGTATTCTTTGTGCACAGTGTATATGAAAGAGCTTTTGACTAGTGAGAGTGTTGACTTTTGAGTGCTGAGGGTGGTGAAGTCATTTTCATTGTGAAGGTGCCCTTGTAGTACGTTCCACGCCTAAGTTGTTCTTCTTTTATGTTCTGTTTTCCATACTTGTCAACCTCTTGTACGGACACCAGACCCAGACTGACTGGTATTGGAAAAATGATCAAATGTTGAACAACACCCCAAGCCAGTTTCCAAGTTGATTTACAAATTACATGTATATTTCACAAGAGAGGAGGACCTTTCGACTCGAACCATGAATTGGTAAGTATATTCCTGGGAAGTTAATATATTGAATGACCATTGACCAAGTCAATTCAATTAACGTCGATAAATAAGACAAAAAAAATCTCTTTTCCAAATGAAGTTGACCATGAAGAATATCATCACGTTTCGCCGCGTCTACTCTATGGCATGCCAATGGCAAGTTCGATTGGTCATGTATAAGGCTAAGAGAGAAGGGTCGACGAGGATATCATCGAAAGAATTCTCATTCTTTGGGGTAGAAATGAATTAAAACAGAATTGGTTCACTTTTGGATGACAAAGTTACAGAAAGAAAGTCGTTCTTGATGGCTTCTTGTGGCCAAAACTCAAAACCCTTTTGCCAATTTGCCAATCTACACTTGACTAGCCAAAGTGTATAGTAAGGACGAAAGTGGGGAGCAAAATGCGAAGGATAAGAAAATTTTACATCTGTTGGAGCTTGTTTCTCCCCATTTTCCTAACCCTTTGCTTCCTTCCGTTTTCCCTATCTAACTCCAACTGTTCCCTTTTCGTTATTCAAACACGAATCAACTTCAAAAGTTTTTGCACTAAATTTTCAGCGCAATTGGTCCTATGGTTAGCTAATTTGTAAATGGAATTTCCCTGAAATTAATATACCTCATAATTCAATATAACAATTAATTTAGTAAAACCATTTCATTAGTTAGTGGTACCAAATGCCGTGTGAACCTTGTCAAGAAAACGCTAATAATGAATAACAACTCCATGAGTAAGTCATTAAGTGCAAAATTTCTTCTAAGTAATTGGAAAATGATAATGATATTCGATTACTTAACCTTTGATGTTAGCAGTATACTCTTGCGTACGTTTTTCTTTAAAAAAGATTACTTAGGATGTAATGTGCTACTGCAGATCAGAGTGGAAATTAAAGGATTTTAGTAGTATATAATTAATTTGATCATTGTGCATTAGTTAAACATTATTACTATTCTTCACACACACACATATATATATATATATATTATTTTTTTCCTGTTTTTTTACCAGGTGGTGAGGATAAAACAAGGGGAGGCAATTTCCTACTGATTTCTTGACAGTTTCGAAGGAGGGGCACCAAAAGCGTGGGAAGTGGAGGCAGGGAATTTGCATTCCAACTTGGAAGAAAAGATTTTCTTTCACTTCTCATTTAAGTTGAGGAATAAAAAACCAAAAAAGGAGTCGTCTATGTCCCACAAGCGTGTCATCAACGCGGTGCACTTTTTAATTTATAAAAGCCCCGGCACCGTTTCTCTTCTCCCATATCAGCCTATATTTTGTTTTGGTGATCAAGTACTGTAATCAAAGTATCAGCTAAGATTTTATTTCAACAAAGATATTTGTAAACCAAATACTGAACCTTTTTGTTCGCTTTGTAGTCTATCATCTTCTTTTTGCAAACTCCTTTTTCTTCTTCTTCTTCGTTTTTCCTTATTCGGGGTGTTTTTATTCATGACTACCGTTCTCCGATCGAACTTGCTTGGCATTGAATGTATAATCCATGTACCTGCCACCCTTAGCAAAACCCCAAAAAGAAATGGCACACCATTTTCACTACCATTTATTGTTCTAGAACCTTTTCATCCCTTGTCATGAAGCCTCCAGCAGCCAAAACAAAAACCAAGGATATTCATCGCTCCTCAACTCATGTTTCACTCACTGTTACACAAGAAAACTGTCTTTTCCAAGTTGATCAAACGACTCTCATTGAGGTAGTCAAAGAGAAAAGAATCGATACGTTGCAGAAACTTGATGGGGTTAATGGTGTGGCTTCTGCTCTCGGAACCAACACCGAGGTCGGTATTTCTGGCAGCACCGAGGACATCGCTCGCCGACATGAAGCGTTCGGTTCCAACACGTATAAGAAACCGCCAACAAAGAGCTTTTCCCATTTTGTCATTGAAGCTTTTAAAGACCTTACTATAATGATTCTTGTAGGATGTGCAGCACTTTCACTTGGCTTCGGAATCGAAGAACATGGACTCAAAGAAGGTTGGTATGACGGTGGAAGCATTTTCGTAGCTGTCTTTCTTGTCATTGCAGTTTCTGCTATAAGTAACTATAGGCAGAACAGACAGTTTGACAAGTTATCAAAAGTCAGCAACAATATTCAGATTGATGTTGTACGCGGAGGTCGGCGCCAACAAATCTCAATATTTGATATAGTTGTTGGAGACATTGTTTGCCTAAAGATTGGAGATCAAGTTCCTGCTGATGGATTGTTCTTAGAAGGACATTCCTTGCAAGTTGATGAATCGAGCATGACCGGGGAAAGTGACCATGTCGAGGTAAATCGCAGCCAAAATCCGTTCTTGTTTTCAGGGACCAAGGTGGCTGATGGGTACGCTTGGATGCTTGTCACTTCGGTTGGAATGAATACTATGTGGGGCCAAATGATGAGCCAAATCAGCTGTGGCACTAACGAACAGACGCCCTTACAAGCTCGTTTAAACAGGCTGACCTCATCAATTGGTAAGGTTGGCTTAGCAGTTGCGTTCCTGGTTCTTGTCGTTTTGTTGGTTCGTTACTTCACAGGCAATACAACAGATGAGAACGGAAACCGGGAGTTCAATGGAAGCAAGACAAAGGCTGATGATATAATAAATGCTGTTGTCGGAATCGTAGCTGCCGCTGTTACCATCGTCGTAGTTGCAATTCCAGAAGGGCTGCCACTAGCGGTCACACTGACCCTTGCTTATTCGATGAAGAGAATGATGGCAGATCAAGCAATGGTAAGAAAGCTCTCCGCCTGTGAGACAATGGGCTCTGCCACCACAATTTGCACTGACAAAACAGGCACTCTCACGCTCAACCAAATGAAGGTGACCAAATTTTGGCTTGGCCAAAAATCTATGGAAGAGGGTGCTTCTTCAATTTCTCCATTTGTTATTGACTTGATCCATCAGGGAGTTGCTTTAAACACTACTGGAAGTGTTTACAGAGCTTCCTCAGGATCAGAATTCGAGTTCTCAGGTAGTCCTACAGAAAAGGCAATCCTTTCTTGGGCTGTCTTGGAACTGAAGACGGATATGGAGAAAATGAAGCAGAGTTGTGCGATACTCCAAGTTGAAGCCTTCAATTCTCAGAAAAAAAGGAGTGGGGTTTTGATTGAGAAGAATGGGGATGATACTGTCCATGTTCACTGGAAAGGAGCCGCAGAGATGATTCTAGCAATGTGCTCAAGCTACTACGATGCTTCCGGAATCGTGAAAGATCTCAATAATAGCGAAAGGATGAAATTTGAGCAAATTATTCAAGGAATGGCAGCGAGCACCCTCAGGTGCATTGCTTTTGCCCATAAACAAGTTCCAGAAGAAGAGTATGGAAATCTAAAAGAGCAGAAAAAGGTTAAAGAAGACAGCTTGACCCTGTTAGGACTGGTGGGCATAAAGGATCCATGCAGACCTGGAGTGAAGAAAGCTGTGGAAGATTGCCAATATGCTGGAGTAAACATCAAAATGATTACTGGCGACAATGTTTTCACTGCAAGAGCTATAGCTACTGAATGTGGGAATTCTCAAGGCCTGGTGACGACATGTCCAGTGGCGTGGTGGTAGAAGGCGAGGAATTAGAAATTATACACCACGAGAGAGGATGGAGAAAGTTGACCAAAATCCGAGTGATGGCAAGATCCTCTCCTTTTGATAAGCTTCTCATGGTACAGTGCTTGAAACAGAAAGGGCATGTAGTTGCAGTCACTGGTGACGGCACAAATGATGCACCGGCACTCAAGGAAGCAGATATAGGACTGTCCATGGGAATTCAGGGAACTGAAGTGGCAAAAGAGAGCTCAGACATTGTCATCTTGGATGATAATTTCGCTTCTGTTGCCACAGTCTTGAGGTGGGGAAGATGCGTCTATACCAACATCCAGAAATTCATTCAATTCCAGCTCACGGTAAATGTTGCTGCACTTTGTATCAACTTTGTAGCAGCAGTTTCAGCAGGTGAAGTCCCTCTAACAGCGGTCCAGTTGCTGTGGGTGAACTTGATTATGGACACATTGGGTGCCTTGGCTCTTGCTACAGAGCGGCCTACAAAGGAGTTGATGGAGAAACCACCCGTTGGTCGAACAAAGCCACTCATCACAAATATCATGTGGAGGAACCTACTTGCACAAGCTTTATACCAGATATCAGTGCTTCTTACCTTACAATTCAGAGGTGAATCAATCTTTGGCGTAACAGAGAAGGTAAATGATACCTTGATCTTCAATATTTTTGTCCTTTGCCAAGTGTTCAACGAATTTAACGCAAGGAAGCTGGAAAAGAAGAACGTGTTTGAGGGCATACACAAGAATAAGTTGTTTATGGGGATCATCGGGATAACAATTCTTCTTCAAGTGGTGATGGTAGAATTTCTGAAGAAGTTTGCAGATACGGAGAGGTTGAATGGGGCCAGTTGGGGTGCCTGCATTGGAATGCGCCGTGTCTTGGCCAATTGGTTGGGTTGTTCAAGTACATTCCAGTTCCAGAGAAACCCTTTTTTAGCTATCTCAGATGGAGGCAGTAGGACATCATGAAATCAGAATTGCTGCTTATTAGTTTTTTTTTTTTGTTGTAATTTTTTGAGTAACATTATTAGAAATGATCAATAGTCCCTTAATTTTTTGTAAACTAATTTATATTTTTAGCATCTTGATCTGTACAAATTACAGAAAGAATTAACTTTACATCAATAAAAAAAAGGAAAAAAATTGGTTTTGTTTATGATGGGCTGATAGTACCCATTTAAGGTTTGAATAGCAGTTGTGCTCTCTGGCTTTGTTGAAAACATTGGACTCAATTAGGCTCTAGGTGCTAAGTTATTGGATAATTACCAGAATGAAAAACACTCAGACATCCAATTAGCCCAAAGAAAAAACATCTGAAACCGTGGTGTCTTTTATTAGTCCTATTGTTTTTAATTGAATTTCTGATAAAACCATCTTATCTACATCCATGAAAAAAGAATAACAAAAATTTAGCCTTAGCTTACAATTTTGCATGGTTCCCTTCCAACTTTCTTCCTTGAAGTGCTTTCATATTAAGCAATCGGAAAAAGTTTTTAATTAAAAAAATCAAACGGTAGAGTAACATTGACACTTTGATTTTTTATCATAATTAAACGTAGGTCTATTAATTTTAAAACTAATAGTCAGCTCAAAAAAAATATTTCGTTGAATATATAAATTTTGTTATTACTTAACTGGCAATGTTTGTTAATTTGATGATATATCAATATTTTTAAAATAATTTTACTTTTATATTTTAAATTTTCATTTTTAAATTATTCTCACTTTTTTTTGCAAAAAAAAAAACTCTTAACCCACCATGTCGCGACGGTGACGTCCCCTAGCAAGCTCATGGTGCTCTTAGGGAGAGCAGTAGATCTTGAGATCTAGGCTACATGGTTAGATCTCGTGCTTCCTCGTAAAGACTGGTCAGATCTAGCATTTTAATGTCAAATTCGATTGCAGGTGATTAATCGATGTAAAAGAGCACTTTTGACTGGCATGAGATAAAGGAAGAGTGAAAAAAAGAAGTATTTTAATATTTTACATTAAGACATTAACATTGTTACACATTTGGGACGAATTTGTTTTTGAAAACTAAATAGACTTACACGTTGAATATAGTTAAAATAAAATATAAAGTGTCTTTTATTTTTTAATAATATTGTTTTATTTTTCAACAACTTGATCCATTATAACTTCAATGTAAGATGATTAAAACTACAAATATATGACATATCAATCATAGGAGTTTTAAAAGGGTTCATCCGTTTAAAAAAAAAAGAAATTTAAGTTATAATGTCTTTCTATACTATCCAAAATGTTGACTCGAGTGTTGATTGAGAGTGTTGACTATTGACTGTTGACAGTGGTAAAGTTATTTTCCTTGTAAAGGTGCCATTGAAGTACATTCCACGTCCAAGTTGTACTTCTAATTTTTCTGTTTCCATTTGATCGACCCTTGTGAGGGCTTTAGACCCAGTTTCAAATTGGTTTACAAAGGCATTCTGTTTATTTTTTTTTAATTTTTTTAAAAATTTTGAATAAATATTTAATTTTTTACTATAATTAAGTTTTTATTTTTAATTTAAAATTAAATATATTTTTATAATTAATTTATTATTAATTAAAATATTATTTAAATTTATATTCACATGATATTATTATGACGTTGATATGAAGATAAAAAATATCACCATAATCATATTATTATATCAAATTAGTATATTAATTATATCAATTATAATTTTAATATATCATAATTCATCATACGATATAAAATAATAAATAATATTTTAATAATTAATTATTAATTATAAAATTTATTTATTTAAATAAAAATTAAAAATTTATCTGATTCAAAATAAAATACAAACTTAATTGAATATAATTAAAAATATAAAAATTTATTTAATTTTTTTTAATATATATCAATTTCAAATTACATATTTATTTACAACTGGGACACCTTTGACACCCTTTCATAATTGGTAAGTGTATTATTGGAAATAAATAGGCAATATAACTATATAAGTAACGTAGGCAGGAGACTAAAAATCTGTTCTACCGACCTCCACGTTGAAATGTCTTTTCCTTGTCGGTAAAGAATATCATCACGCGTCGCCGCATCTTCTCTAACGAGGCATGCCAATCGGTTTCAGTTTTAGTAGGAAAGGGATCGGGTAAGGCTAAGAGAGAGGTTTGAATAGGATGCCAACTCTCTTTTTTATTTTTGCTGCCTATCTACTCTTGACCAGCCAAGTGTAGAGTCGGTAAGGGAGAAGTAGAGAAAGGAAGGCATCAGTAAGAAAAAAAGCAAATCGGAGATGGTGAATGATTCAGCTGGAGATTTAGTGTGTGCCTCATAATGAAAATACTAGCACTAATTAATTTGAGTAAGTTGGAGCTTGTCTTCTCATTTTCATGTGGAATCTAATTCATGGCTTCCATCCGTTTTCCCTGTCTAATTCCTAGTGTTTCCTTTTGGCATTCAAACACGAATCAAATTCAAAGTTCATAAAGATACTTGCTTCTTTTTTAGCTTTCAAAAATCGATTATTAATTATACTATAAAAAAGAAAAGGAAAAAAAAGAAGGAAATCGAAATTTATATTTGCACTAAATTTCAGCTAGAATGAACTAATTTATTCCCTGGCCCTGGCATGATTCTTTCCACTCAAATTTGTTGATAAAAATATAAAGATCACATTAGTCAAAATCTGCATTCCTCGCCATGGAAAATGTTTTTATTTCCATCTGATCATAGCAATCTGTACATACTTCTAATTTCTGGGCTTGCATATTGGAAAGAAGTCTGAAAGGGGTTTTTCTTGTTTTATATATAAAAAAAAAAAAACAAGCCACTCATTTTCCCTCTATTAATTATTAGTAAGGAAGCCTGGGCTCTACTTCCTCATTTACAGCCCAAAGCCAGCTCATGTTTCACATTGTGCATTACTTAAACATTATTATATTTCCCCACATAGCAGCAAGAATTAAATAATTATGATTAAGTTGAAACTTCAGTAATACCCAAAAATAAACAAAATTGCATTTCTCTGGAGTCTTAGAGCCAAGACATAATAGCTTAATGAGCGATACGGAGAGCCTGACATCAGTATAGATATTTTCATATTAACTATATATATTTAATTTTCAATCCCTCACCGCGTTAAGGAACTGTTAGTTCATCATCTTCAACTGTAGGTGTAAAGGAGTACTGGTCAATACAAAGTGGCCCAACTTTGGTCCTGCTACTGGGCTCTAAAGAAATGTTGTGGCAAGTTGTTCTCTTCACTTCTCCTTCAAGTTCAGAAAAGATCCAGAGAAAAACAGCAGTGATCTATAACGAACATGCGTTCCACTTTTCAATGCTTATATAATATAAAGAACAAAATTAACCTTAATTAAAATTTTGCTGGTTCCCTTCCAGTTTTTCTCTTTGAAAGTATTTTCGTATTAAGCGATCGGACAATTGATAATAAAAAGTTTTTAATTGAAAAAAGAAATTAATAGAACACACTAACTTTTAATTGAATGATAGTTTTATTGTTTCTACAACTCGAATATATTTATACCTTCAATGTAGATTATTCAAATTACATTTGGTTTATGTTTTTTCCTTTCTCAAAATGAATAAAAAAGAATAAAAATAAATAATAAATAAGAAAAACCAAAGACGTATGACAGAATTCAAATACATCAATCAACCGAGTTTTAATAAGGTTTACCTGTAAAACCAAAAAAAAAATTGAAAGTATAATGTCTCTGTATTCTTTGTGCACAGTGTATATGAAAGAGCTTTTGACTAGTGAGAGTGTTGACTTTTGAGTGCTGAGGGTGGTGAAGTCATTTTCATTGTGAAGGTGCCCTTGTAGTACGTTCCACGCCTAAGTTGTTCTTCTTTTATGTTCTGTTTTCCATACTTGTCAACCTTTGTACGGACACCAGACCCAGACTGACTGGTATTGGAAAATGATCAAATGTTGAACAACCCCAAGCCAGTTTCCAAGTTGATTTACAAATTACATGTATATTTCACAAGAGAGGAGGACCTTTCGACTCGAACCATGAATTGTAGTTATTCTGGGAAGTTTAATATATTGAATGACCATTGACCAAGTCAATTCAATTAACGTCGATAAATAAGACAAAAAAAATCTCTTTTCCAAATGAAGTTGACCATGAAGATATCATCACGTTTCGCCGCGTCTACTCTATGGCATGCCAATGGCAAGTTCGATTGGTCATGTATAAGGCTAAGAGAGAAGGTCGACGAGGATATCATCGAAAGAATTCTCATTCTTTGGGGTAGAAATGAATTAAAACAGATTGGTTCACTTTTGGATGACAAAGTTACAGAAAGAAAGTCGTCTCTGATGGCTTCTTGTGGCCAAAACTCAAAACCCTTTTGCCAATTTGCAATCTACACTTGACTAGCCAAAGTGTTATAGTAAGGACGAAGTGGGGAGCAAAATGCGAAGGATAAGAAAATTTTACATCTGTTGGAGCTTGTTTCTCCCCATTTTCCTAACCCTTTGCTTCCTTCCGTTTTCCTATCTAACTCCAACTGTTCCCTTTTCGTTATTCAAACACGAATCAACTTCAAAAGTTTTTGCACTAAATTTTCAGCGCAATTGGTCTATGGTTATCTAATTTGTAAATGGAATTTCCCTGAATTAATATACCTCATAATTCAATATACAATTAATTTAGTAAAACCATTTCATTAGTTAGTGGTACAAATGCCGTGTGAACCTTGTCAAGAAAACGCTAATAATGAATAACAACTCCATGAGTAAGTCATTAAGTGCAAAATTTCTTCTAAGTAATTGAAAAATGATAATGAATTCGATTACTTAACCTTTGATGTTAGCAGTATACTCTTGCGTACGTTTTTCTTTAAAAAGATTACTTAGGATGTAATTGCTACTGCAGATCAGAGTGGAAATTAAAGGATTTAGAGTAGTATATATTAATTTGATCATTGTGCATTAGTTAAACATTATTACTATTCTTCACACACACACATATATATATATATATTTATTTTTTTCTGTTTTTAACCAGTGGTGAGGATAAACAAGGGAGGCAATTTCCTACTGATTTCTTGACAGTTTCGAGGAGGGGCACCAAAAGCGTGGGAAGTGGAGGCAGGGAATTTGCATTCCAACTTGGAAGAAAAGATTTTCTTTCACTCTCATTTAAGTTGAGGAATAAAAAACCAAAAAGGAGTCGTCTATGTCCACAAGCGTGTCATCAACGCGGTGCACTTTTTATTTATAAAGCCCCGGCACCGTTTCTCTTCTCCCATATCAGCCTATATTTTTGTTTTGGTGATCAAGTACTGTAACAAAGTATCAGCTAAGATTTTATTCAAACAAGAATATTTGTAAACCAAATACTGAACCTTTTTGTTCGCTTTGTAGTCTATCATCTTCTTTTTGCAAACTCCTTTTTCTTCTTCTTCTTTCGTTTTTCCTTATTCGGGTGTTTTTATTCATGACTACCGTTCTCCGATCGAACTTGCTTGGCATTGAATGTATAATCCATGTACCTGCCACCCTTAGCAAACCCAAAAAGAAATGGCACACCATCTTCGCTACATCTATTGTTCTAGAACCTTTTCATCCCTTGTCATAGTCTCCGGCAGCCAACGAAAACCAAGGTTATTCTTCACCCCCCATCTCATGTCTCACTCGCTGTTATACAAGAAAACAGTCTATTCCAAGTTGATCAAACAACTCTCATTGAGGTAGTCAAAGAGAAAAAATTCGATACGTTGCAGAAACTTGATGGGGTTAATGGTGTGGCTTCTGCTCTCGGAACCAACACCGAGGTCGGTATTTCTGGCAGCACCGAGGACATCGCTCGCCGACATGAAGCGTTCGGTTCCAACACGTAAAAGAAACCGCCAACAAAGAGCTTTTCCCATTTTGTCATTGAAGCTTTTAAAGACCTTACTATAATGATTTCTTGTAGGATGTGCAGCACTTTCACTTGGCTTCGGAATCGAAGAACATGGACTCAAAGAAGGTTGGTATGACGGTGGAAGCATTTTCGTAGCTGTCTTTCTTGTCATTGCAGTTTCTGCTATAAGTAACTATAGGCAGAACAGACAGTTTGACAAGTTATCAAAAGTCAGCAACAATATTCAGATTGATGTTGTACGCGGAGGTCGGCGCCAACAAATCTCAATATTTGATATAGTTGTTGGAGACATTGTTTGCCTAAAGATTGGAGATCAAGTTCCTGCTGATGGATTGTTCTTAGAAGGACATTCCTTGCAAGTTGATGATCGAGCATGACCGGGGAAAGTGACCATGTCGAGGTAAATCGCAGCCAAAATCCGTTCTGTTTTCAGGAACCAAGGTGGCTGATGGGTACGCTCGGATGCTTGTCACTTCGGTTGGAATGAATACTATGTGGGGCCAAATGATGAGCCAAATCAGCCGCGACACTAACGAACAGACGCCCTTACAAGCTCGTTTAAACAGACTGACCTCATCAATTGGTAAGGTTGGCTTAGCAGTTGCGTTCCTGGTTCTTGTCGTTTTGTGTTCGTTACTTCACAGGCAATACAACAGATGAGAACGGAAACCGGGAGTTCAATGGAAGCAAGACAAAGGCTGATGATATAATAAATGCTGTGTCGGAATCGTAGCTGCCGCTGTTACCATCGCGTCGTGGTAGCAATTCCAGAAGGGCTGCCACTAGCTGTCACACTGACCCTTGCTTATTCGATGAAGAGAATGATGGCAGATCAAGCAATGGTTAGAAAGCTCTCTGCCTGTGAGACAATGGGCTCTGCCACCACAATTTGCACTGACAAAACAGGCACTCTCACGCTCAACCAAATGAAGGTGACAAAATTTTGGCTCGGCCAAGAATCTATGGAAGAGGGTTCAGCTTCAATTTCTCCATTATTGTTGAATTGATCCATCAGGGAGTTGCTTTAAACACTACTGGAAGTGTTTACAGAGCTTCCTCAGGATCAGAATTCGAGTTCTCAGGTAGTCCTACAGAAAAGGCATTCCTTTCTTGGGCTGCTGGAACTGAAGACGGATATGGGAAAATGAAGCAGAGTTGTGCGATACTCCAAGTTGAAGCTTTCAATTCTCAGAAAAAAAGGAGTGGGTTTTGATTGGGAAGAATGGGATGACACTGTCCATGTTCACTGGAAAGGAGCCGCAGAGATGATTCTAGCAATGTGCTCCAGCTACTATGATGCTTCTGAGATCGTGAAAGATCTCAATGATAGCGAAAGGAGAAATTTGAGCAAATTATTCAAGGAATGGCAGCGAGCACCCTCAGGTGCATTGCTTTTGCCCAAAAACAAGTTCCAGAAGAAGAGTATGGAAATCTAAAAGAGCAGAAAAAGGTTAAAGAAGACAGCTTGACCCTGTTAGGACTGGTGGGCATAAAGGACCCATGCAGACCTGGAGTGAAGAAAGCTGTGGAAGATTGCCAATATGCTGGAGTAAACATCAAATGATTACTGGCGACAATGTTTTCACTGCAAGAGCTATAGCTACTGAATGTGGAATTCTCAGGCCTGGTGACGACATGTCCAGTGGCGTGGTGGTAGAAGGCGAGGAATTCAGAAATTATACACCACGAGAGAGGATGAGAAAAGTTGACAAAATCCGAGTGATGGCAAGATCCTCTCCTTTTGATAAGCTTCTCATGGTACAGTGCTTGAAACAGAAGGGCATGTAGTTGCAGTCACTGGTGACGGCACAAATGATGCACCGGCACTCAAGGAAGCAGATATAGACTGTCCATGGGAATTCAGGGAACTGAAGTGGCAAAGAGAGCTCAGACATTGTCATCTTGATGATAATTTCGCTTCTGTTGCCACAGTCTTGAGGTGGGGAAGATGCGTCTATACCAACATCCAGAAATTCATTCAATTCCAGCTCACGGTAAATGTTGCTGCACTTTGTATCAACTTTGTAGCAGCAGTTTCAGCAGGTGAAGTCCCTCTAACAGCGGTCCAGTTATTGTGGGTGAACTTGATTATGGACACATTGGGTGCTCTGGCTCTTGCGACAGAGCGGCCTACAAAGGAGTTGATGGAGAAACCACCCGCTGGTCGAACAGAGCCACTCATCACAAATATCATGTGGAGGAACCTACTGGCACAAGCTTTATTCCAGATAGCGGTGCTTCTTACCTTACAATTCAGAGGTGAATCAATCTTTGGCGAAACAGAGAAGGTAAATGATACCTTGATCTTCAATATTTTGTCCTTTGCCAAGTGTTCAACGAATTTAACGCAAGGAAGCTGGAAAGGAGAACGTTTTGAGGGCATACACAAGAATAAGTTGTTTATGGGGATCATCGGGATAACAATTCTTCTTCAAAGTGTGAGGTAGAATTTCTGAAGAAGTTTGCAGATACGGAGAGGTTGAACTGGGGCCAATGGGGTGCCTGCATTGGAATTGCGGTTGTGTCTTGGCCCATTGGTTGGGTTGTCAAGTCCATACCAGTTCCAGAGAAACCCTTTTTTAGCTATCTCAAATGGAGGAAGTAGGACATCATTAAGTCAGAATTGCTGCTTATTGTTATTTTTAGCATCCTCATCGATGCAGCTGACAGGGAGAATTCTTTTTACGTCATAAAGAAATAATACCATTCTTTCAATTGAGGACTGTTTCAAATTTGGTTTTGCTGGTTAAGGACAACTTAATTGTGACAACCTGGTGCGATTTCATGGTCCTTGTGTTGCCATTAAATCCCATGCTTGCCGGACTCGGCAGCCTTTGTTTCGCATACTCTGTTTCTGCTTTTAGCTGACATACGGCCAATGGAAAGTGATGATAACGGAGTAAAGAGAAGCTTGTCTCTAGATGGAAAAATGTAAGCTGAAATTTCAGCTGGCGGATTGCGTGCACGAACATAAAATAAATTGACAGATTCAAGGAAAGTTAACAGGTGAGGTGTAGGATCAAATGTAGTACATGGAAACTCGACTCCATTGCCAAATCTGGTTAATCAAACAAGCCAGAATCAACGCTCGAATCAGAGAAAATATAGAAAAAGCAAAGAATGTCGTTTATGCATTCATTCCGTATTTTAGTGGTTTTTGCAGCAAGACTGATTGCGTGGTTTCTGCCTTTGGTCCTTTTTGGATTAATAAATGACAATCATCAATTTCACCCATAAAATGAAAATGAACGGAAAATTTACAACTATCCAAAGTATGGTTAAACTCCCAAGTGATCTGATCACTCCCGGTGTTCACTTTGTTAAGATTTTCTTGATGCATTTGGCCTATGGTTTCCAGAGAGTATAAGAATCCTTGAAACATTTCCTACAATCCATGTTCTTCATAAGAACACAACCACACGATATAGTACAATGTGCCCCTCATGCTCAGAGGCACCAATGCTAGATGCCATACTGGGCATCTAATCACAGGGAGGCAAGTTTCCATGTCTCCGTACCAGTGCCTCCCACGGATTTATTAAGAGATCTGGACAGAGAAACTTTACAGGAATTGGATCCTACAATGGAGACAAATACTGTTATGGTTTCTCCCAATCAGATGGCGATACATTATGATACAGCAAATTCATCTAAGCAGGAACAGCTTCAGCAATTCTGCCATTGTCTGATGGTGTCAAGCTGTCGTAGTATTCAACCAGGACTTTCCAGCCACCAGGGCACATAAATCCATCAGGAGGGTTCTCTTTATTCTTTGCAAGTGTCCTCATCTGTGAATGGCAGGCAAGCATCGTTCAGATACAGTTGTGTGAAAACAGAAAATATTTGCTCTCTCTCACATATTTACATTATATTCCCAACCATTTCTGGTGATTCTTTAACTAGCGGACCATTAAAAAGTAGCCAACAATATTTACAGGGACAAGTACCTTAGTGCCTGATATGAAGAGAAAGTCCTGTGCCCTCGAGGGATCAAAGAAAGCCATTTTACCCTGGGTTTTATCGTATGCAGCAACCTATAAAACCCATAAGTATTAAACAGGGATTTCATATTTTATGCCACAAGTATAGTCACCATACCAGAAAACAACAACGCAATCAAAAGCCCATTAATTATACCTTGAAAGGAAGGATGTTCAGCCGCTCAAGTCCAGGAGCCATGCTCAATACCTTCTTGCCATGATCAGCATCATACAAATCTCTCTTCTCAACAGGGTGGCCCATGCCAGCTGGGTCTCGACCAACAATGTAAAAGTTGGCCCCAGCATTAATCCGAGCCTTAGCATGCCACTGCACTTCAGTTGGACCAGCATAGTGCATAGGAGATGGGAATATAGAGACCACAGTTGTTTCAGGATCAAGAACACCATCCTCAAGCACCTGATAAAACATATTCATCATTAATTAAACTGTCACATAATGGGCCTGCAGACAGGCATTTGCATGTGACCTTGTATAGCATAGATATGACCATTTTCTTATGAGAAACTGTTTTCATGGGACTCTGCTATGTAGAACCTAGGTTTCTATCAGTTTTTCTATACCAAAGAGAGGGTCAGAGAACAGATGAACGGATTACAAAAGACAATTAAGAATTTATAAGATCTAATGGTGGACTTAGGTGAATGGGTATCCTGCTATTGTCTGCGAGATATACATGGCTAAAACGGAAAGAGGAACAAGTTTGATATAGAAACTGCAAAAACATTAAAATCTAGATTGCCAGGCTTTCAGGCCCCCTCCAGATGGCATACCTAACAAAGCAATCCCATATGGAGTCACATGATAATGGATTGAAATGTTTGTTTCAAATACCTTTTCATGTTGTTTCATTCGCCAGCTAAGAGGAACATCATCTGCCTTTGTGTAGCCTCCTAACGGATGTAGCAAAAGTATGGGATTCTTGAAGCCCATCTCAAGAAGCCGACGACGAGTATCAGTCATTAGCAAAGCATGCCCATTATGAACGGGATTTCTGAGCTGGAATGCAAACACGGCATCAGCATTGCGCCTTTCAAACTCTTCACGCAGTTCGGCAGGTGACAGCCGAAAACGATCAAGACCGTCATGGTACTTGATTGGCTCTATAACCTCCAAGTCACCTCCAATCAGCCAATTTCCAGCATTTGTTATAGTTTCTTCAACATATGGTAGTCCAGGGGCAGTAGTTCCCCAAGTCCTGGCTATCCTTTCTTCCTTGGGGTGCTTGTAAATCTCAATGCTGAAACAATCCAGTAATAAAGCAAAGAATAAGACAATATAGCCATTGCATTGAACGAAAAGACACCTATAATCCATGAACTACAAAAAATATCCAAGATGAAAACTGGAATCTCATGCAACTTGTTTAGGCCCAAGAAAGTTTATTTTATATGAACTTTGTTTCTATGCTTCAATGTAAATATGGTCTCCCAAGAATTGATACAACTATTATTGTCTGTAGCAAAACAATAAGTTTTTTCATTATAATAGGAAAACTCGCATGCTGAAATCCCAAGCCAATAATAAGATGACCCACATTTTTGAACAAGTTTTAATTATACAATTTTTTAAAGTTCAAATAATTTCCCATCAAGTTGTAAAATTCCTTCAGATGTACTAAGGATGCAGGAAAATGCTGCCTCCACCAAGGATCATATGAGGTTTACAGGATGGCAGAGGGCACCGCACCCTCCTCTTCTCCCAATTACCATCCCCCCTTCCCCAATTTCAATAAACATCAGCAAGAAGCAGGAGTACTTTCTTCTCTAGAAAACTGGTGTTAAACAAAAGAGTATCAAAGTGATCTATCATTTGTCCACATATCAGATTTGAAACCTTCAAATGGTTGAATATTCTTATTGGAGATTTAGACAGGGGGCAAAAAAAAAAAAAAAACACAGAAAACCAAAAGCAACAGCACAGTAATAGAGCAGGAACTTAACATGACCTTAAATGAACAAATCAATTTCAATCAACATTTACAGCTACTTCCACATTTCTACTCCAACCTTATTCCTTCCCTTATTCTTTTATTCAAAACTCACTAACATATGCTTCTCTTCAGAGAAAATTTGAAGAAATAGACAAAAAAAAAATGTGGAGGCCACTGTAAAAGCATTAATAATGGTGTACTAACAAACAGAAGTAAGGCTCATTATGTTGATTTCATATTCAATGAACCTTACCTACCATAATAGCTAACATTAAAACAATTAACCTTACTTTTGTAATGCACAAGAACTGGACTCCAACCTAAGATAGCACATTGTGTATGGATTGTTTTAACCTTAGTTGCTATGGTCGTTAAGGATCACTGAAGTATGAAATTGACGTAATTCAGCCTTAATTCTCTTTGCTGGTACACCATTTTTAATTTTTTTTACAGTGGCCTCCACGTTTTTTTAAAATATATTCAACAAAACAAATTTCATTCTGTTTACCAACATTCTCATGAGGATTAACCAAAGTTAAAAAAGAAGCGACAGATACCAGGCATTCTTTTCTAATGTTTTATAAATTATCTAATCACATGGGGTTGCATCATTTCAGTTTCTTTCTTTCCTTTTTCCCCCTTCCTCACCTCTAGTCGATGCTAACCTTCATTTTTCTCAAAAAGCAACACAATTTAACAAAACCTTTGCAGCATAAAATTGACATGCAATAACTTTAAGCTTCAACATTAAAGAATCAACCTTGTTTTATCAAACTGCTAAAGAATTACACATAGAATTTCAGAAATCTTCACCGGAACAAGTCAAATTAAATTGATAAAGAAATCAGAAACCGTTTTCCTTAAGAAAGTTCAAGCATCCTAATAGAAAAAAGAAGAACAATCACATCAATGAAACAACAATTCAGAACCCAAAATTTTAAAGCTCAAATTATTAAATTATGTATAAATAAAATAACAAAAAAGAGGTTCCTCTAAACAGAAAACTAATATAAATTAGAGTGTGAAACTAAATGAAAATATGGAAGGAAAAAAAAAAGCAGAGTTACTATATCACGATCACTATGGTACGAGTTTATCAACTTACTCGGTGAGAATAGCGAGCGGGTTATCATCCGAGTCAACGAGAGCGACTCTGTTGGACTCACCGATCCTCTCCTTCTGAGAATCATCGATAGCCAAGACAATCGGCACCGACATATTGACGAAGGAACCATCGTCAAGTCGGAGCGAGTTAAAATGAAGAGTTTGGAGGAACTCGGATTCTCTCATGAACCCGGTAAGCGGGCTAGCCCAGCCTTCACTCAACACGTGCACCCATTGCACGTCGATCGTAGTGAGCTTCACCCTTGGCAGCAAGGTCGTTTCCCTCTTCTTAAAGTCCCGCTCTGGCTCCGCCACGCGGAGGTCCACGAGTCTCCCGCCGTCGGGCTTGATCAACCCGGCTTGGAGTGAGAAGCGTTTCGGGAGGGTAGTCCGGGGCTTGAAAGAGAGGGAAACGGGGAGTTTGAAGGAAGAGATAGAATGGGCATTAAAGGACTTGTTGAACGACTTGGAAGGAAGTGAAGTTGGGGTGAGAAGGGAGGAAGCCATTATTGAAGAGAGAACCAAAATGTTTGGTTTTGGTTCTTCTTCTTCTTCTCCTTCCTCCTTTGTTGGTTTTGGTTTTTGGGAGACTGATTGGTGAGTTAAATAATAATAATGGGAAAACGGTGCGGTAGTGGGGTAGAAGGGTAATTCGGGAATTAGAAAAAAACTGTTTGGATGAGAAAGTGAGAAAGACGAGGGAAAATGATTATGTTTATGCTTATGTTTATCACGAGTGGGCGAAACTTGCAAGTGAGGAGGAATCCATGTTGGATTTATAAGTTGAGTTTGAGTTGTGTTGGGAGGATGAACCTGGACATTGCTTGATTTCTTGTTGTTTTTATAAAATAAATATTTATTCTTTTGTACTTTTTTAGGTCAAATTTGGCCAGCCATTTGGGCAGTTTTCAGTGTAATTTTCCACCATTAGAAACTTGTCATGCTTTAATTAGATTCATTTATTTTTCCATTTATCAGTTGGCCAAAGTTTTTGTTTTGGTTATTTAACAGTAAAATTCAAATATTTTTTAACTTAAAAACATCATTTAATTAGAACGTATTTATTATTAATTATTTTTAATATTTTATTATAGTAATAATATCAATATATGCTATCAACGCATGAAAATGAATATCATGTCGTGTGAGTAACGAATTATTGATATCAATTTTTTAAAAATGAAAAAAATAAAACATGAATATTTAACTAAAAAATTATATATATATCTCTTATTCCAAAAATCAAATTAAAATTGTATCGATTATATTAATTAATTTGTTAAAATAGTATCAATCGTAATGCCCAAAGCTTTATTCCAACTTGTATTCCATTTAATTTAAGGCATAGGGGGGAGAAAAATTTTCCTTTTTACTAATATATAAAAATTATAATTACAAAATAAAAAAAATAAGCTTTGTAATTTTTTCTGAATTTTTGAAGTGGGTGCAGTGCAGGGTGCAGGCTTTTCATTGCATTTTCCTGGAATCTTCATTATTTTGAATTCAAAGATGCAGCACTGACACTTTATACGATGCGGAAAGTGAAAAGTTGATCTTATTGCGCACGTGTCAACTGAAGCTTTCCCCATCTTGAACCTTGCCCCATTTTAGGCACACATTCATTGGAGTTGTTTCCTGCGATTTTTCTTCTTAATTATTATGATTCCCCATTTTCTATACTTCCCATTGTATTTGCAGTACCAATATTATGGATTTGTGAGATGATCATGTGTTCAGCATATATGTCATGGACACGTGGCATCGACCCAATTTGCAACTAGGAGGAGGCATCGGTGCTTTCAGATCGTCCGATTTGATCCCGCGATTAGCAGTAATTAAACTTAATTAAACCTTCCAATATGCTCTTTTAAAAAAAATTAATTTAGGGGCGTAAGGGACATGATATCCTCCGCGTAGCATCCCATTTGATAAAATAGAAAATTAGGATGAAACAAAATATTCTGACATGAGCATATATACATTATTACGCAACCGGTCAAGCGATTACAGATTAATTAATTAAAGCAAGAGTTGAATAATCTTAGTGAAAATAATATTTTAAAAGAGAAAGAAGAAATCAAATTTTACCTTTCAATTATAAAATCTGTACAATTATTATTGAGTTAAATATTTAAATTTTATAATAATAAAATATAAACTTTTCATGATAATTTACAAAACTACAACTAAAATCATAATTCTATTGTAATTCGAGTCTATCCATGGTGGGTGTGAACCATTGCATTTTTCATGACATTACTAACAAATTTTTTATAATGGCTTTGGTATGCATAGCATGAATACAAAAGCTTGTAATATTATATTACATAGTACTATAGATATTAATGGGAAAGATTTTCTATTGCTTACTTTAAACAAAATAAAATTATATTCATTGAAACAAGAGGGGTATTTTTAAATCAGGAAATTGAAATTAAATGTCACCTAATTTTGTTTGATTAACACCTGTTAGACTGGTGTGTTAGGTTAGGCCCACATGATGAGCTTTTCCGCCTCAATAATTTATCCCTTTTGGATTAACCATGAAACCATATGGGTAATGATAGGATCGAGTGATATGTAAAGCTTCTAATTTGCAGTGAAAAGACTTGAATTTCTATAGTTTTGAGTCGCTGTTAGAGAGGAGGTGGGGTTGATGTAAATGCGTCGCATTGCTACTTTTGCATGTCATTAATTACTTTTGACATAAAGACTGCCAAAGGCTTGTATATGGGCGCCTCTAAATTCCTTCTCATAAATATATGGAGCTAATTTTCCTAAGATAGTGAGATGATGGTGTGAGTGATTACATAATTTAATCAGTTCGATTTGTCATATTTAAAGATTAAATAAATTAAATATTTTTAAAAAATTAATCAAAATTGATTAAATATAAAAATAATTCAAATCAACCAAATATTGAATTAGTTCGAATAATTGAATTTTAAATTAAAAAATTAAAATTTTATCTTTTTTGTAAATTACCATATTAAAATTTATAACTTTCTTCAATAATTATAAAATATGAAATAAAAATTAGAATGAAAATATATTTTTTATTTAAATTTAAAACCAAAATATATAATATATATTAATATATATATAATATTAATTTGATCTTTGATGGGTTCGATCTAAAAATTTGACAATTGAGAATCGATCAAATAAATCAATTAAATTAATTTTTTTAAACCAATAGATTGAATGCACCAATTGAATAAAATTGTTTTATTCAAATCATATTGATTTAATTGAATCATTAGTTCAATCCTAGTTTACTCATCCCTAATTAATGGAGATGCCCTGTTCGATATGCATCTCTTAAAAAACAGTGTGTAATGATATAATTTTGCAGAAAGATCTCAGCTATGGTCGTGGCTCATAGGGAAACGCACGAATTTAGAAGTGCATTCGCCCACGTTGGAAATGTGGGTGGCAGTAGGTAAACAATTCTCTCTTTTGTCCACATTTTTCTGTCTTCTTTTCTTTTTGCTGTTAAGGGTGAATTGAGTGGTCATCGATCAGTCATGAGGACACCAAGGACCTATTATATTATGATGTGTCCTTCGATTTGGGTTTGCTATACTTTTAATGTTGATCCAACCGAAACAACTTCTTTCAATTCTCTTCTGATCAGAATCATGCATTTATACAGAGGTGGCAATTGAGCGGAATGATTTATTCCAGGTTTAAGTTATTCACTATTTTTAAAGTTCAGTTGAAATTAGGTGGTCATAAGAGATTAGCAGGGAGGGATGATGATATAATTGCCATGCAGATTTACTACCGCTTGTTTAATTTGCAGATCCAATTGTCACCAAATTGTATCTTTCATCGTAAACAGTTTTCTTGCAAAAAGATGTTATCAGCTTACTGATTTGGAGGAACGATGATGTGTGAGAAATAAAAGATAAAAATTAAGATTAAATATGTATTAATTAATAATTTAAAAATAAACATGTGACATTTTGTAACAAAAAAAAAGAGACATAGAATGAGGCAGGGATTGGAGGCAAAAGATTTGGATTCATTAAATAAAGATCGTAGAAATCTGCCACTCTGTAAACTAGGCAACTATTGAACAAGAAAAAAAAGAATGTAAACTAGGCAACCAAACATGCTTAATTGTCTGCCATTATGTTGCATAAATCAGAACCAAAAACTGAGGCACCAAACAAGACATATATTTCAACTAGAGAAGTTAAGTGTTCAAAATCAATATCAATTCTAACAGAATGCAATCGTGGGGCAGCGTGGTTCTGAGAGGGCTCATGGAATCGTCAAACTGTGCTCTGGTTGCAAGGGAAAAACTCAGAGACTTAAGCCAAGTGCAGCCGTTTTTCATTGAACTGCACAAGAAACTATCATCGACTTGCTCTTGGAAGCGATATTGGGCATACATGTCTCCTTTCAAAATTAAGGATTGAACCCAAAGCCATTGTATAAGCAAAAGGTGCCGGAAGGGACTCCAGCCATCTTCTTCGGGAAAAGTTGATATTTCCTCTTTGTATTTTTGTGGAGATTCCGGAGAGATATTGGATGCAATAATTGGTTTTAAAGGGAGGAAAATTCCATTAATTGATAGTGAATAAGAATGTAAAAAATAGAAAAATCGCCTTGCTCTTCTCTTGGTGCGAGAAGCTACATGACCAAGAAAATATTTAACAAAAAATTAAGAGCCATATATAGTTACACTTTTTGCTTTTTTTGAAAGGCAGAAACAGGCACAAAACGAAATTTCATTGAACAAGCACCATCATCGTTTTATAATACAAAACATTCAATGTCTTACGAACGCTCACCAACTAACTTTACGGCCGGAACTAAGACCCGCTTGTTTTATTCAGTTGCAGTGTGACAGCAAAACAAGCTTATCACAAGGGCTTTGAGTTAGCTTCAATTGCAAGGTGTCGAGAAGGCTGTCACAGCTCTTCTTGAAAGCCTCCACTCCCTCATCTTCGAGCTGTGAGCCCACATAGTCCCATTCAATCCTCAACTCTTTGTTGGTATACGTCTTTTAATCAATTAAATTGATTAAGAAATATATATTATCATTTAATACATATTTAATTATATAATTATATGTAATAAAAAAAATTTTATATTAATATAATAATAAAAAGTTATTAAATACTAATTAAATAAAACGCATGTAACATAAAAATTTTATAAAAAAATTATAAAATTATTATAATTACGAAATCATTATACATCAAAATCATATTGTTTGTATTTTACCCTCTCTTTCTTCCTCAAAGGAAAAAAGGCACCTCCAAAATTCAGCTGGTTTCTTTGCGTATGATTCACTCTCCTTCATCATGTCTTCATATTTAAGGAACAATATCTCGTCAGGATGTTCCAAGCTCGCGTTCCGGTACCCCAAGACATGTTCCCTATTGGTCCGTAGAAAGAGATTCCTTTGCAATACAATTCAACGGCCTCTTCCACTGATACGAGGTCTCCCTCCTTGAGCTCTTTGATATTATTTCGTGCAGCCTTTCGCACGAAGTGCGATAGAGAAACAAAGTTGTCCTTCGGATCTCTGCAAATATAAACAATTTTACAGCCTGAATCAATTACAGACTAAGGCAAGCTTGTTTAATGTACATGGGTAGCCAAGAGCGGGAAACCTGGGCCTTGAGAAGCTGCTTACTCTCCATGGTCCACGAAAGGAATGCACTGGTGCGCAATTTTGGTTTGGAGAGGGCTGATAGAATTGTTGAATTGGGTTCTGGTTGCAATAGAGAAACTCAAGGCCTTGAGCCAAGCAATGCCGGTTTTCACTGAGCTGCAGAGGGGAATATCGGTAGATTGAGCCTGGAAGTGATCTTGAATATACATGACTCCTTCTAAGAAGACAGGGAAGAACAAAAATCCTTGGTATCAGTAAACAGGCTGGAAGGGTGTCGAGCTATTTTCTTTAGGAAGAGTGGCAATAAGCTTTTGGTATTTTTTCTCGGGATTCTGCAGGGATACTGGAGGTAAGATTTCTTCGAAAAGGGGAGGAGAATTCCAAGTTGCAAGGGAGAAATATGCATGCACAGCACTTGGATGGGAATAGAGTATACCCATGCTTTGTTTATAAATAATTGGAGCTTTTGTCTTTTGGGTTCAATTATTGGAGAATTACTTCGAATTATTGTGTCCCTTCTCTCACTAAGTGTCTTTGTTAATCACATATCTATTTTTCTCAGGGAAAGAAAAAATTTTTATTGCCCGATCAATTTTGAAAATGAAACACCAAATACATCTTTTAACAAATATTTCTTCTTACAATATCCTTCTAACCATTCCCGGACTATTAGAATAAACCAAAAAATTATCCCTAATAGAAAAACTCTCATTAGCACTAATATGTGTTACTATATTTCCTTCCTGAAACACACGATAGATTTGACACATTTTTATTTTTTAATTACTAATTAATACATGTTTGTTTTAATCTGTAACTCTTATTGTTAGAGAATGGTAATCTTCTATCTTCTTTGCTTGATGCAAGATAAGATTTTCCTTCGTTGAAGAAACCCAGCAAAAACCAAAAGAAGGGATCAGATTTTGTTGTGCGACTAAGAAGGAAAACAAAGAAAGGGCAAAACCCAAATTCTACTCTCAGGATAATAAAAAAACGTCAGATTTTGCTGTGAGACCGATAAAAAGGGAGGAAAAACAAAAAAAAAAGGCAAAACCCTAATACTACAAAAACCCAAATTTTGCTCTCAAGCTTAGCGATCCTTTCCCTTCCTACTTTCTCTTCTATTCTCCTGCTTATAAATCGAAAATAAATAAATTCCTTCTTCTCTCTTATCCTAACTCTCCATGCCTATTTCTTCCAAACAATTTTATTATTAATTCATGAATCTGAAATTGGGTGGTCACAAGGGCAGATGATGAGCATAAGCCATTTTCTGTAGGAAGAGTTGATAGTATATCTTTGTATGTGTTTAAGGATTCCGGAGAGATATTAAACACAAAATTTATTTTAAGAGAGAGGAAGGATGATTCCATTTGATATATATATATATA